AAGGCGAGATCAAAATGGTTAGGAGTTTAGAGCACAAAATCGAAGCAATTTTAATATTCGCTCGTGCTGACAGAAATCTACATGAAACAGAGCGACAATTTAATGAACGATTTCCTGAACATCCAATTAGTCGAAAATATTTAAGAGAACTTGTAAATAAGTTTTTGGAAACTGGAAGCGTCGAAGACCGCAAAAGAACTGGGCGTCGTTCGATTCCTGAAGACACACAAGTGCAGATATTAACAGAAGTAGTTAATGTGCCCATGATGTCGTCTGCTACTATCGCATCAACGTGTGATGTGAGTCCAACAACGGTGCGGAAATATTTAAAGAAGAATAAATATCATCCATATAAAATTAAAATGCTGCATGAATTAACAGAAGATGACCCTGATAGAAGAACAGAATTTTGTGAGCTAATGACAAATATGGTTGACCGAAATCCATCATACTTGAAACATATTTGTTTCAGTGATGAATGTACTTTCTTTTTGGATGGAAAATTGCATCGGCAAAATGTACGTTACTGGAGTGATGTTAATCCACATGAATATCGCGAAGTTAACACTCAATTTCCCAAGAAAATAAGAGACCAATATTCCTAACCGAAAATTTGACCGGAACATTGTATTTAAGATTATTAGAAGAAGATATTAATTCAAGTCTTTTGCAAATTGTACACCAGAATCCGTTTCATCAAGACGGAGCACCTCCACATTATGCGGCAATGGTACGAAATTATCTTGATACAAATTTTAATGGACGGTGGATCGGTCGACGTGGGCCGATTGAATGGCCAGCAAGATCACCAGATCTGACACCTTTAGATTTCTTTTTATGGGGTTATTTAAAATCCAAGGTATATGAAATTCCGTTGGGTAGTATTGAGGATTTAAAACAAAAAAATATTGACGTCTGCCAAAATATTGATCATCACATGTTAAGCCGTGTGAGAGAAGAAACACTGCAAAGATGGTACCACTGCCAAAAAGTTCAGGGTAATCATATCGAACAATTTACTTAATATGGTGTGGCCCTTAAGTTTTTTAAATTGTACACATTTGTCTTTTGTATCAGTAGGAATTTTGTCAATTTAACTTGGTAAGCTTGCTTGTTTTTTTAATATCACGCTTCATTGTTTTGTTTTTTAATCCCCTTTTCTGTTTTCTTGTAGTCTTGATAATGAGCTCATAGTAGCTCGAAAGATCGACAAAAAAAATTTTTTTTTTAATAAAGACAACTCAAGAAACTAAATGAGAACGTAGTTTCCCTACATCATTAAAAGGAGTTAATAATCTTCCCGTTAAGATATCTTCCCTTAATAGATAAAACATTCTTTTATTATTCAATAACAACACTAAGCCAATTTTTCAACCGTTACGTATACTAACAAAATCTTTGATAAAAAAATGTCATTCTTATATTGACTTTGATTTTTTTCTTTATAAATATTTTGTGATAAAATATGATTAATTCATAAATTTAATATACTTCCACCCGTTTATTTCATTTCTAAAAAAAATAAGTAATTGAACTAGCAATTTTAAATCCGTCTTAGCTCGAGCGTATACCGACCGTTAACCTACCGTCCACCCTTTGCCTGGCCGATTGTATTTCGACAGGTAATCGACGAAGATACGTTGGTTTTTCCGGCGAAATTCCGCTTTTTGTTTAATTTTTATTCGAAAAACTAATAAACCGATATTTGATTGTGAGGTACCGTTGGATTCGTATTGTTTTCATCTTTCGGAAGACACCATAATATACTGGGTGTTCCATTAAAAAAAACGAAGTTGATCCATTTTCCGGAAAAACTAAAAGTGATAGCAAAATTTTCTATAAGAAAATATTTGTGCTGATAAAATATAGAAACTGACGTTCTTTTGTTCATATTGATATCTCAATCTGTTCAGAAGTTAAACAGGGGGGGGGGTTACTTTACGCTAGCACTGTATGTTTTTTTGATAACGCTATTCATTTGGCCACAAAAATTTTATTACCTCTTAATAAGTTGCATCCCCAACTCCAATCCTAAAGGACGAAACATGGTAGCCGCGTACCATCTTTCGTCCTTTAGGACTCGGAGCTTTTAAAGCAGGTTCGCGTTGGTATGTGTATGGTGGTCTAAGGCTAGCGAATAATTTGGGATGGGTTGCTCGTCTACAGTTTTTAATCTTTAATTTTCCAACGGGGTTGTACCTAAATCGGAAATTCTTCTTGCGATATGCGTAGTAAAACTGTTTTCCTCTAAGTAGTACGATAACGAAGAGAATGATGTTTCGCCGTGACTTTTTGTGCCCTTCTTTCACATCTTACACTTCACCACAGTCTCAATTCTAACATTTAGGCCTTAAAAGCCCCGATTAGCGCTTTTAACCTAAATAAACGCAGTCTTTTATTAAAGCTTAACATGCACTAATAAGAATTTAATTAACAAATTATTAATTATGTTGTTATTATCATTTCTTTCTATTTTTGTAGAATAAAACTCAAAACAAGCACTTTTTCAATTGATTTAAGTAGTATCGAAACGCCGATTCTAGACAGGAAATTGCTCCATCGTGACGTCATCAACCCAATGTAAAAGGATAGGGAAGGGTACCAACCTAAGGCGGAGGAGAAAAAAAAAATAGGTTGATATTGGAAAAGTAACTATATCTGGTGACTTTTAAAAAAAGGTAACGCGCCACCTAGTGGTTGGTAGTGAAACTAAACCACAAGGTAGACTGTTACTTTTTTTAAAAAGTCACCAGATCTAGTTACCAACCTATTTTTTTCCTCCAAGCCTTTGGTTGACACCCCTCCCTATCCTTTTACATTTGGCGGATGACGTCACGGAGGAGCGGAGTAGCAACAACTTCCTGTCTAGAACCGGCGTTTCTGAAAGATGGCGCATTGAACGCATAAAGGCGTGCCTCACAACTCTTGAATGCGCGTGCGAAGGAACTTATAATAATAATAATAATAATAACACAATTTAACACAATTTAATTTCCCCCCAATCAACCCAATAAAAGATTAAAAAATTAATAAACATTTTTATAATAATAAACATTACATAATAAACAGTAAAAAAAATAATAAAAACCTTAATGTTATGGTACTTTTTTTTACAAATTCAATTATATGAGCGGGCTTCGGTTTACCAACATCCTTTATTATTATACACGATACATTGATCTTGTAACCTTCTTGATCGGTAATACCCTAGCGAGCCGGGTAGGTAAAAAAAAACGTTGAGAAGCAAGCCCGCTTCTAACTCCACCACAACAGAAGGTGACCAGGCGCAGCTCGTAAGACGTTTTCCATGAACAATAAATAGGGTAAAAGAGGTAAATCCAACTCAACTTCGAATAAATTTTTTCTTTGGTTTAAATTCACAAAGACCGAAAAAAAAACAGAGAGACATTGCGCGCGGTTTACGTTTGACACGTTCGGTTTCTAAAGTAAAACTGATTATGAGTTATGCTTTCCTCGCCGGGCGGAAGTGTCAAGTTACACAATCGACGCGGCGGTTAGTTACAGTGATAGTGCTAGTGTAAAACTAGAACTAACACTGACCTAGAACTAGAAACATTCGTTTAGTAACTTAACACTTCCGCCGGCGAGGTGCATTGCACTTTACTACTTAACCTTGGCCATGCGCCGCGTCGATTGTGTAACTTGACACTTCCGCCCGGCGAGGAAAGCATTGTATGGCGTAACTCATGATCAGTTTTACTTTAGAAACCGAACGTGTCAAACGTAAACCGCGCGCAACGTCTCTGTGTTTTTTTTTCGGTCATTGTGAGTTTAAACCAAAGAAAAAATTTATTCGAAGTTGAGTTGGATTTACCCCTTTTACCCTATTTATTGTTCATGGAAAACGTCTTACGAGCTTGTAACGAATTTGTAAAAAAAGTACCATAACATCAAGGTTTTTATTATTTTTTTTTTACTATTTATTATGTAATGTTTATTAATACTGTGATCGGGTTGACTGGGGGAAATTAAATTGTGTTATTATTATTTCCGAAATATTCCTAAGCTCCTGCGCACGCGCATTCAATAGTTGTGAGGCACGCCTTTATACGTTCAACGCGCGCCATCTTTCAGAAACGCCGATTCTAGACAGGAAGTTGTTGCACCTCCGCACCTCCGTGACGTCATCTGCCCAATGTAAAAGGATAGCGAGGGGTGTCAACCAAAGGCTTGGGAGAAAAAAATAGGTTGGTAACTAGATGTGGGGACTTTTTTAAAACGTCACCAGATCTAGTTACTTTTCCAATATCAACCTATTTTTGTTTTCTCCACAGCCATAGGTAGGTACCCTTCCCTATTCTTTTACATTGGGTTGATGGCGTCACGGAGGTGCGGAGGTGCAACTTCCTGTCTAGAATCGGCGTTTCTATACTACTGGTTTATTTTATCAATTTGGTTCGACCGGTTTCGATTCATTTCAGAATCATCCTCAGGAACACGCCACATTGAATTAACAACCCTGGTATCAATTTTAACATTCCAATTTCATTAACGTGTTAGAAACAGTATAATTAATATTAAAAATGGCAAGATGGTAGTCTACCATCTTGCCGTCGTCTGATCGTGTTTTAATTTCTTGAAGTTGTTTAGTTTTTTAATATTAATTATACTATTTCTACCGCGTTAATGAAATTGGAATGTTAAAATTGATATCAGTGTTGTTAATTCAATGTGACGTGTTCCTGAGGATGATTCTGAAATGAATTGAAACCGGTCGAACTAAATTGATAAAATAAATCCATTGAAAAAGTGCATGTTTTGAGTTTTATAAATTATTAATTAACAGTCAAAGAATCTGATTAGCTACAATTCTAAGTTAATTTGATTCAAGTTGAAAATAATTCTTTCGTCATAGATTTCGTTTAAAAAATTACACACCCTGTATAATTAATAAAATAGAAAATTAATTTCAGGTTTGAAAGAGTTAAATAAAGTTGATTTTATATTTAAAAAAAAAAGTTGTTAATTAAAACTTTTAGTTTATTAAAAGCTGCCGAAGAATACCATTTACCGAAATCGCTGAAAGATTCTAAAGGAGGAGGATTGAAAGAATTTTCCGTTCAGGATGTACAGCTTTTCGAGGGATGCGAAAACGAAGAATTTTTCTTTACAACGCAAGAAAGACAGTGGTTGGTTTTGCGTTTATTGGAGAGTATAAGATCAAAATGTAACGATAGTATCTCATTATCTGGGGTTAATTTATTAGAAGGACAACCTATTAGTAAGCATACTTTTAATGTAAAAAAACTTTAATTGGTTAAAATTAATTTTAGTTCCCAAATGTCTCTCCGCTGGAGTTATATCACAAATCTTTCCAATACACGACGCGACAGCGCTAGAAAGACTACAAAATTCATGGGTTAGAGATGTATTTGCACGACAACCTTTAGGTAGTATTAAATAGCAAATAAAGAATAAATTTTTATTAAATTATTTTTATTAGATGAAATCTCAGAATACTTTGGAGTTAAAATAGGAATGTATTTTGCGTGGTTAGGTCACTACACAACAGCACTGAGTATTCCAGCGGTCGTTGGATTTTTATTTTGGGTAAAATCATTTAATAATTCTTAAGATTCAATGAACAACATATTAATTTCAGTTATGTTGTAATGGAAAACATCAAACTTTAGAAGACGTCGGTTACGTTCTTTTTTCAGTTTTCAACGTTGTCTGGGCCACCACGTATCTGCAAGCGTGGAAAAGATACTCTGCAGAGTTAGCGTTTAGATGGGGCACACTAGATCAAAGAGATGATCTTTTAGCAGAACCACGTCCGTTATTTAGGGTGAATAAAAATTTAAGATTATTTACTTACGTTATTTTGTTTAGGCGCATAATGAGAAAGCTGATTTTGTTCATTTTATTGGACGCGTTCAGCGCATACAATTATCTCACTTCATTTTTGCTGTTAAAACTAACATTTTTAGTAGTGTGCACTTAACGCGCCGAATTATCTTTTATCTTTTAATTTGTATAAAGAAAATTAATCCAGCTTTTTATTAGATGTTTTAAGTTTTAAAACATGTCGACCTATCCAGGTATCCCGACATGTGGTATGTTTCCAGGGTCCCTTAGAACCAAGTCCGGTTACGGGAAGATTGGAACCTTGGCAGCCGACTTGGAAACGACACGTCTATCGATATTTTGTATCGGTCCCCGTCATTGCCTTCTGTTTGTGTTCGGTGTTTTTTGTTATGATCGTTTCATTACAATTTCAAGTAAGTATATTAAATCTTGTAAGACGCAAGTTATAACTTAGTGCACGAATTAATTATGTTTATATTTATGAATTCTTTGTAATTCACAATTATTGAAAACCATTGGTTTCCTGAGTCTAGATTCTATAAAATTTACCACATATTTTCTAACACTTGATTCGGATGCTTTGGCAAACGCTTCTCTATGAATAATGCAGGGAGTCCAGAATGAATTTGGTGATATGCTTCTAAAAAGCGCATGTAAACCTTCATAGCAGCCAGACATGGTTGCTTCTGCAATAATATTTTTGCAAAACAGGTCTTCTTTAATACTATTAGCATCTATAAACCGTATATAACATATCAAATGAACATCCTTTCTAATAATCTTACCGTCACCATGTATAATGGCCTGACTTGCCTTTTGGCATGCGGGTTTCTTCTTCTCCACCCAACCACCCCCAAGACCACCACCGCTTCCGCCTACCAACAACTAGCACACAACTCCTACTGCCAACCAGTTCCAATCATCCATATCGCTGTCATCCATAATCCCGTTCAACTCTCCTTTACCTTCTCTCTTTCTTTCTCCTGACTTCATCTCTCTTCTCCATTCTCCCACTATTCGGACGCTTCTGATATAATCAAGATATCATGCATCCTTACTCATTCCACACACACACACATCCCGTTCGTCCCCCTCAGTTGAAACTTTCCCAAATATACATATGTACAATGAATAGACTATGTCCCGTCATCAGCTGAGTACCCTTACTGGACATGGCCACACCCATCTATCCATCATTCATTCACCTATACACCCCTCTATCCTTATCCAGTTTCATCCATCTCCTCTCCCAACCGTCTCTAACACCTCATCTAACTGTCCATCTGTAGCAATCACTGATGTCATATTCCTAGACTAATTGTGTTAGGAAATATAACAATTGTCTATGTCTATATAACAATGTGTACGATGATATGAGCAAACTGCACTTTTAAAAAACTTTTTTATTTTATTTTATTTATGCTCTACCGGTTTCGGCGGCAGCCATCATTCAGGAGCGTCTACAATTAAACCACATACAATTATTAACAAATAAAATATAAAATGAAAGTGTGATATTAAAAGAAACATGGGTTAACTTAATCTAAAAATAACTTACGTCATTTTTTTTCTTGAGATTGCGAGTAAAAACATTACATGAAACATGTATACAATAAACAAAAACTTCGATTTTTCTATCTTTTAACAAATGATCACCAAAATATGACAAAAAACCCAAAATAACGAATTAAACTTGATTAATTTTTCTCTCCGTTCCGTTCTTAAGTTTCTTTATTCGAATAAAACGTGTTTTCAGAAATTTCGTTAAACATGGGTTGAGTTGTTATCCCCCCTCTCTGTTGCGAACCTGAATTAACCCAATATTCAGGCTCCTCGTTCAAAGAGATAATTTATATTTTAGTTTTAAAATTAGAGAAAGGTTCTATAAGTACGAAGGCTTTCACGGCCGGAGTGAATTGAACTAAAATTAGAACTATACTAATACTAGAACTAACACTAGAAACTTTCGGGTTTTGCCGTGCGTCTTTTAAGAAAAGGTTTGACGTTTCGGATGCCATGTTGCAACCTTCTTCAGAAACTGTTCTTAAAAGACGCACGGCAAAACCCGAAAGTTTCTAGTGTTAGTTCTAGTATTANGTTTCAATGAAACATAAAAAGGGCCGGACATTAGCAGTTTCAGACACGTTTCACCTATGTTTCAGAAATATGTCGAAGAAACATTTCATGTTTCAATAATATGTATCAGAAATGTTTCTGAAACGCAAATTTGTTTACTGGGTTTCTTCTTCTCCACCTAATCACCCCCAAGGCCACCACCGCTTCTACTTACCAATAACTAGCACACAATTCCTACTGCCAAGCAGTTCCAATCATCCATATCGCTGTCATCCATAATCCCGTACAACTCTCCTTTACCGTCGCTCTTTCTTTCTCCTGACTTCCTCTCTCTTCACTACTCTCCTCCCATTCGGACACTTCTGATATGATCAAGATATCCTACAGGGTATCCTTACTCACCCCACACACACACATCCCGTTCGTCCCCCTCAGTTGAAACTTTCTCAAATATATGTTCAATGAATAGAATATGTCACGTTATCAGCTGAGTGCCCTTACTAGACATGGCCACCCTACCCATCCATCCATTTTTCATACACCTATACACCCCTTTATCCTTATTCAATTCCATCCATCCCCTCTCCCAACCGTCTCTACCACCTCATCTAACTGTCCATCTGTAGCAATCACTGATGTCATATTCCTAGACTAATTGTGTTAGGAAATATAACAATTGTTTATGTCTATATAACAATGTGTGCTATGATACTCCGTTATCAAAACTTTCATGCACAGTACACTTGGTCTCTCTTTTGCTCATTTCTTCACACTTCTGCCAATGGTTGAACGCATGCTTTCTTTATTTGCATTAATAAGATTGTTACCGTTCAAAAATCTATTCTTTATCAAAGATACAAGAGCCAAAAATCACAAAACTACCTATTTAACAAATTTATGTCACTGCTTATTTATAGGAAGTGCTGTGCTTATCTTCATTGGGCTAAATCATAAATCGATTGGCTGAATCGATACGCAGGTTTTGCTGAACCAGTTGGTTACTTCGGCATCAATTTAGATCCAAAATGGAAATGGGAATAACGCACAATACATTTCTGTAAATCATTTTCCATTTTGAGAATACTTCTCTTCATGATTCATCCAACAATATAATATTTTTATAAATATATCCCTACACTATCTATGCCTTGTTTTTACACAATCTCTATTCGTAAACTGTTGCTTTTGGCTCTCTGTGTCTCTACCTAACGATCTCCTGATCCACTGTTTCCCAAAGTGTGGGTCGCGATCGGATATTAGCTGGGCCATGAAACTGTTAGGAACTAATTTTACTACCAACTTTCTAATAAATACTAGTTCTAATATAAAAATTGGTTGGTAATAAAAAACAGCCGGGTAATCCCCTCTATTCAAATCACTCACAATTTACACTAAAAAGAACTACATACCTAGCAGTTTTAACGTTTCGCTCTCTGATTCGAGTTTAGTTAAGTACTAAACTCGAGTTTTTAAATTCATTTTGCGCTTATCGCGTGATCCCTTTGTGCTTAGTTGTTGTGTTCGGCAATTCGTGAAGTGCTTCCTAAAATAAGACGTTTTTGTCTCTAACCTTGATAACTGTGTTATATTATAATAATGGACAAGTGATTAAAGCGGCCAACAAATAGTGCACAAAGCGATGAAAAAATAGACCTGACGAGGCTTCCTCTACGAATTCACATCAACCCAAACGTCGAAAAATGGTGAGAAAGTATGACCTTGAATACCTAAAATTAGGGTTCACCTGGAATCAAGATACAATGGATCCTTGTCCTCAATGCGTTATTTGCTGCGAAATCTTGACGAATGAAAGCATGCATCCAAGTAAGTTATCATGTCATATGGAAACGAAGTCGGTGAATTTTGTTCAAAAGAAATTATTGAATATGAATTCTACAAAGAATCTTCTTTCACATTTTGTAAATATTAATGAAAATGCTACTTATACCTTTTATCTTATTAGCCTGAGAATCGCCAGAGCTTGTAAACCTCATACCATTGGCGAGAATTTAGTGTTGCCATCGATTAAAGATGTTGTTGGAGTGATGTTTGGAGAAAATGAAGTAAAGGAAATCCAACGTATCCACTTTCCAACAATACCGTTGCACGAAGAATTGACGAGATGTCCCAATGGGCAGAGGATGAGATAATTCGTAAAGTAGTCTGTAGTGAATATTTTACGCTACAACTGGATGAGTCTACCGATGTGCACGGCCTATCTCAGTTACTTGTTTTCGTGCATTATATATATATATGGCAAAATGACGCGCATGAAGACATCTTGTTCTGCAAACCAATTAGTCGTGGAACGGCCGATGAAATTTTCAATGAAGTGGATTCTTATATAAAGACAAAAGGTTTGGATTGGAAGAACTGTGTTGGTGTGTGCACTGACGGAGCTCGAGCTATAATAGCAGTGTGGTCGCAAGTGTTCTTGAAAGAAATCCCAATGCTTTGTGGACTCACTGCAGCCAGCATAGAGAAGCACTGGTTGCAAAATCATTGCCTGTTGATTTAAAAACGGTATAAAGTACCTCTGTGAAAATGGTGAACTATATCAAAACGGCTAGTCTTCATAAATTTCTTCTTTTACATACTGAGGTACGTTAGCTATGCAGAGGGAAAGTTTTGACAGGATTAGTGTAATTACGTAATGAAGTCACAGTTTACTTGGTAAGAAAAAATCAATATCTTGAATCTTTACTGAACAAAGAAATTATTCTCAAGCTAACATATTTGGGGGATATATTTCAAAGATAAACGAATTTAATTTGTATCTGCAAGGATCAGAGGGATCCGACATTTTTGCAGTTCACGTTAAAATTCGAGCGTTCATGAAAAAGCTTGTTTTGTAGAAGAGATGCATCGAGGAAGGCAAATGATTGTTTTGAAACGTTTCAAACATTTATCATAGAGAGTGAAATATAACCGTATATCAATGTAGTGTCTGCCATTTCACTCATTTAATGGAGTTGAAAAATAACTTTGACGTCTATTTTCGGGAAGAGATGAAGGAGTTCGATACAATGAGCTGGATTTGTAATTAGTTTCAAGACAACTTGCCAACTGGAAAAAAAGCAAGAGAAGAACTTATTGACTTATCAGAAGACAAATCGCTAAACATCACCTTTAATCGTAAGCAATTAACGAAATTATGGTTTTCACTTGCTGATACCCATCCTTGCTTATTTGATAAAGCCATGAAAGGCCTCCTTCCTTCCAAAAATTTCATTAATCTGGATGTCTTTTTTTTATTGAGCAGACCTTAGCACAGTAGAAGATGCTGTAGTAGCAATAAACAACGCTGCTTCTTTGTTTCATATTAGGCAAGGGTACGTTGGTCAGTTTTTACAGTAAGCCCACCTATACTCTACCTTTATCCCATATAAATGTGGTTATTGTGTTAGGTGAGTCCCATTGAACATTGAAAATTTTTTACGATGGGTCGTGGTCCAGACAACTTTGGGAAACACTGTCCTGATCTGATATGTTCTTCTTGCTTTCCTCAACGGTCCCTGCTTCCTCCGTAATTCCTCATTCCACCAACTTCCATGTCTCCTTTTCATTCTTCTACTCACACGTTTCGACTTACCTTCCTTATTCCCTCATTCCACATTTTTACTAACTCCCTCACTTTTTCTTCCACATGGAAAGAGAATCCTAATATGTTTATCCAGCGCTCTCCCTAACTTTCCCCAATTTGCTCATCTTTACTTAAATCTACTTCTTTTCATTTCCATTTTCCTTTCACAACCATACTTAACACTATGGTAATCACTCAATAAAGGCGTGTCCAGAATCTATCCAGCTCATTCAGTACCGTCCACTCATCCCACGCCGAATGTATACCATTAATGTGCGACATGGCCATATTACTACAAACTCTTCCTGAAGCATCACTACATTCACTTCTCGTTCTCTCGCAACATATACAGGTGTTCATTTCAAAACTTTCCACCTCAATTTCTGTAAATCCGGAAATTTAAAAAGAAAATTGCTGAAATAGGTAAAGAATAAAACCAAGGGGAATAAAACAACTTTTTATGCAAAAATTGATTCACTCACTTCAACCCCCCGCCGCGCCGCCAGAAACCAACCCCTTAAAAATCTTAAATGGAAAGGGGTGTCAAGTGATACCTCATTTTAAAGGTCTTTTAAGGTACTACATGTTAGTATTTATTTTCCCGCTTTAATTAATATTAAAAACTTTAATCACCTTCTTAAAAGCAAGAATAAGTAATCTTTTATTATTAATTTATAAAATTAAATTACCATGTTCGTTTTTACAACGACCATTAAACCTTTATTATTTCGGAGCAATCCGAAATCTTTGATATTTAGGTTATTTTGACAATGATATACCTACGTTGGCTAGCTTGCCTGGCGTCTGTCAGAGATATTTAGAAAAAACGATTTCTGTTTCATTTTTCTTTTCTTTTAGGTTTATTTGGTTATTACTTAAACAACTTTTAACTGCTTGAAACGTTCTATTTTATTTTCAGTTATTTAATTATGTACAAAAACTTTTTGCAGAGAAAATCAACTTAATAATTGTTCAAAGTGTTGTCCGTTATTAGCTAAACAATGGTACAACCGTTGTTCAAAACTACGGCGCACATTTTCAAAAACTTCCCTTTGAATTCCACGGCAAGCTGCAGTAATTCTCTGACGAAGTTCTTCTAAATTTTGAGGTTGAGGGGTAAATACAACAGACTTTAAATGACCCCATAAAAAAAAGTCTAATGGCGTCAAATCTGGTGATCTGGCTGGCCATTCTATAGGACCTCTTCGTCCTATCCATCTGTTTGGAAACGTATTATCTAACCACTGTCGTACTGGGAGAACATAGTGAGGAGGAGCTCCGTCTTGTTGAAAATGTAATTCATTCTCATCAAGTAAGGCATTTTCTTCTCTATCCAACTGATTCTCGAGAGCTTCCGTAATTAGTGGATTGATAGTATTTTCTAACATATCCAAGTACACTTCGCCGTTTAAATTTCCATCGATAAACACTGGACCAATCACTTGGTCTCCCAAAATGCCGGCCCATACATTAACTTTTTCAGGATATTGTGTATGCCCTTCTACAGTCAGATGAGGGTTTTCATTACTCCAATATCTGCAGTTATGTTTATTTACAAATCCATTTAAAGAAAAAGTGCATTCATCACTAAAGCAGATATTTTTCACAAAAACGTTGTTATTATTAATAATAGTGGTCACTTCTTCACAAAACTGTATTTTCCTGTCAAAATCGTCTTCAGTTAGCTCTTGATGTATTTTCAATTTATAAGGATGGAATTTGTCAAGTTTTACAACTTTATGAACAAAACCCAAGGATATACCAGTTGCACGAGATACCTGACGCAATGAAGTATTGGGGTTGATACCGAAATGACCCAACACTTCCAGTTGAGCGGTTTCATTCAAAACTCTCGACTCATTATGTTTTAGGTTGGCAACGGACCCAGTCTGAGTGAATTTCTTCATGATCTGGATGCCTTTCATTAAAAACTGCGGCAGTTCGTCGAGCACATTCATTTTGGGATCCATACATTAATACAATTTCAATGCTTTCCTGCAAACTGTAAACCATTATTGCTGTTTTATTTAAATAACTTTATTAAGTGGATAACACAAAGTTGTTTAAGTAATAACCAAATAAACTTATATTTAGAATTGCACTTTTCTTTTATTCTTTTCTCGCACTGTGAGCCTGCCTATAACTCGTTTATAGAAAGAGAAAAATTGAGAAGAGTAATTTTCATACAGGTTTAATGTAAAATACTTTCAATAAAATTTAGTTTCATTCATAATTATACGTGTTTAGTTTTCTTAAATATTTCCGATTGCTCCGAAATAATAAAGGTTTAATGGTTGTTGTAAAAACGAGAGATTACTTATTCTTGCTTTTAAGAAGGTGATTAAAGTTTTTAATATTAATTAAAGCGGGAAATACAAAACAAAGATTTTCGCAAAAATTTCGAAAACGAATCGATCAATTTAAAAAAAATAAATACTAACATGTAGTACCTTAAAAGACCTTTAAGATGAGGTATCACTTGACACCCCTTTCCATTTAAGATTTTTAAGGGGTTGGTTTCTGGCGGCGGGGGGTTGAAGTGAGTGAGTCAATTTTTGCATAAAAAGTTGTCTCCCTTGGTTTTATTCTTTACCTATTTCAGCGATTTTTTTTTTAAACTTCCGGATTTACAGAAATTGAGTATGTTTCCCCTCACTTTACAGTTGGCACAAACCAGCTTCGTGGCTTTACTCGCCACAACGTCCACATGTTACTTCTGCCCGAGAAGCCCCTTGCAGGTGCTCGATCCTATGATACCTGTAACACCTTTTAACATCTATAAACTCTTCCACCCTACAGTAACTCAAATCCACATATAACGTTCCGAACCTTAACAACTCTTTACATACCCTCTCCGTCACTCCAACCACTCGTTTGAATATCTCCTCTCTCGGTCTTGAACATCATCTACGACTCCTCTTAAACTCCCCCCACGATATTCCTCTCCAACGATGTTCTTCCTATACACTTCTTCTATCATGGTCTCATCCACGTCGTATACCACGACTTTTACTTTGCCCCCTTTCACAATAAATACACTCTCATTTCTACCCTTAATCTGTTCCATATTCTCATCCTTTTTACTTTCATTGGCCTCCATTTTTCTGTCGATCTATTTTGTAGGTAGCATTGCTGTTCCTCCTTAAGTAGTGATTATATTGTTACTGATTTTTTCTGCCAAAATTTTAATAAATAATTAAGACCCTTAGTAATGTTGTTGTAACAATAAGAGAATCCGTGTTATAGACATCAATTACCATTGTCATAAATTCTTGATAAATTAATTCTTGTACTTTTTGAGTATTTGATGTTTTTATAAATTTTTTAAGGATTGGTGGGATGCTCAAATACACGTACGAGGTTTCCCAATTTGGTTAGGATATATTCCCAAGGTGATGTTGGCCGTTGTAATCACCTTAATGGATGAGGCTTATTTCAAAATCGCCTTATGGTTAAACGATAAAGGTAATTTAAGTTTTTATTCCTTCTAGTACTAAAGTTAACTTTTTCTTATTATCTATTTATTTCAAATAAACTACTACTTTTCCAAATTCTAGCATTGCATGGTATTTAGAATAAAGAAATCTTTATTCCTAGTTATTTAGTAACGAATTACTATATAGGTGAAATCACGAAATGTACTCAAAATCAGCTTTGTTTAAATCTTTTAAAATCATTTTTTTACTTGATATTATTTCCAAATCTTGTACATATTCGAAACATGATTAAAATCAAACATTTTTATTTAAATTTTTTTTGTTGAAACTGTATTTTATCCGTCCACTATTTTAGAATAGTTTCTAAGTTCTGTTAGAATAGTGGTACTTATTGTTGGCGTGTTTTCCTCACGCTGCTGCCAGAGAATTACCGTCTTGAAACCAAGTATGAGAATCACCTGATCGGAAAAGTGGCTTTGGTTTGTATATTTCCAGTTCATGTGTCTGTTTTATTTAAAGTAGTTCATTTCGACTAAATCAATATTTTGATGTAGACGAACCCATTTGTGTTGTGTTTAATTAAAATTATAATAATAGATTTATATTAAAAAGATGTTTCAAAAATAATAATCAAATGATTATTTAGATTGTATAATTTGTAAATAGATTTATTATAAAAATTTTATTAATTATCAATCAATCAAAATTGCATGAAATCAACAATCCTTTTCGCTTCCACTTTATCAGCTTAGTTTAATGCACTCAAAAGAATCTTATACAATCAAAAGAAAAAAGAATTAATCTCTTTTTTTAGTTTCAATTCATCAACTCGTTCATGTCCCTCTTCTACATCGCTTTTTATCTACAAGATCAAGCAAGATTGAAAGAGGTAAAAGTTAAATTAAATTATTTTGTTGTTTCAATTTTTGTAATTTTAGCAACTTGCCGCTTTATTAATTTCACGACAAGTAATCGGTAATTTAAAAGAATCTGCTTTACCATACATGTTGGAACATTTAAAATTGGCCAAAATGAGTTTCGATCTTTGGGGCGCGTTAAGTCCAACGAGTTCATCCAGACCACCTCCGGGTGAAGTGCAAGAACCGGAATCTGATAGTCATAAAGATGGTGATACACCAGAAGGGGTTACAAGTAAACGAAGTATGAGTCAAGCTGAGTTAGAAAGTTCTTTGTTTAAGGTAAATGAAATAATTTTATAAACAGAATAAAATTGATTTTGTATTTGTAGTATGATGGAACATTTTCTGAACATCTCGAAATGACGATGCAATTAGGATACGTTATTTTATTTTCATCTGCGTTTCCACCGGCTGCTTTATGCGCAATGTTTAATAATTTTATTGAGATAAGAAGCGATGCTTTTAAATTGGCTTATGTTTGTCAGAGGCCGTTTGGACAACGTGTACCAAATATTGGAACTTGGCAAGTAAGTTAAAAATATAATTAAATATTCTGTTCTTCTCAATTTTTTAATTTAATGAGAGGTGGCAAGCTTAACAGATGTTTTGGGTTATGGTAGTGTTTTTAAACCTGTGATGTCTCAGATGATTACTCTGTGAGAAGTGTGAAAAATTTCCACGTGAATGGTGTTTGCCACACAGAACTTTTTTATTTCGATATGCATGAAGTATTATCTGCACAGTGTCAGATAACCTTACAAATTCCTGCCCTGATCGGTATATTTTCCAGAGAAGACCATCTCGTACCTGACATAGCTATAAAATTTCACAGAGTAACGTTCTTTGCCCACTTAAGATTGGGCCGTAATAGCTGCAATGTGCCAAAGGTACCAATTGCCTACAGTTTTGAATCGATAGAAATGCCATGTTAGATATATTTTCTAAAATTGGTGTCAATATATTACTGAAAATTTAGTCATTTAATTTACACTAAGTGTGTCATAAAAAATGCGAGATAATATGGCTAAAAAGAGCGCAGCTTCTCTTTGTTCTCCAGTATCTTAAGTGTTTTAAGGTGAAGTAAATATTCAGTATCGTCCAACAGAAATTCCAAGAAAGTTAATATAACCACTAATATGTAATGTCTTATTTATTATTCACCTTACTTTATTATTATTTTTTAATCTTTCACAGGTCTCCTTGAACACCTCGTTACAGAATCCTTAACATCATTTATTACTCTTTTTCCAACATGAAAACTTTCCAAAAAGCATATTCAACAAAGTACTTTCCGAAGTCCAAAAATACTTTTGGTTGATAATTTACATCGAAATAGTCTTGCAGCACATTTTCTTTTCGATTGAGTTCGGGTGGAGCCAAATAGACTCATATTTAAAGACCGGATTGCATCTTCTATGTAGAATAATCATGCTTGTTTTCAACCGAAGAAATCGTTTGTTAGTTTATATTTTTAATAAATAAAACGAAAAAACTTCTTAACTTGCTATATTTAATAAATTTGAAGTCAAACCAGTTTCGGGGCTAGCCCCATCCTCAGTGACAACTGAATTTAAAAGGGACAATATTTAAGTTAAACTTATAAAATATATAAAAATGCAAATGACGAACAGGAGCAAAAACGAAAAAACTTATAAAAACTATTTAAAAAACACATTAAAACATGTTAAAAATATAAAATCCCAAAAAACTACTTACTGTCAGTAGAAGACTAATATTGTAAACTGAAGATCATCAAAAAGGCAATTGAATGCATGTATAAAGCTGAAGGCGATATAATACGGCGTTAAACGTGTACAGCAAAATGATTAAAATAGCAACATCAAAAAAGCACGTTATGTTAAACGCCAAAAAGGAGAAGAAAAATAAAAATAAGTAAGTCTTCAGCTTTATATTGGGATTTTATATTTTTAATGTGTTTTTTAAATAGTTTTTATAAGTTTTTTCGTTTTTGCTCCTGTTCGTCATTTACATTTTTATATATTTTATAAGTTTAACTTCAATATTGTCCAAAATTAATTTAATATTTTCTCGAATTATTTTAACTTTGTGTTTTCTCCTTTTAAATTCAGTTGTCACTGAGGATGGGGCTAGCCCCGAAACTAGTTTGACTTCAAATTTATTAAATATAGCAAGTTAAGAAGTTTTTTCGTTTTATTTTTTAAATAATTCACTTGCAACATGGATCTACACTCTATATTTTTAATGTTTCTAAAATTTTCTTTGAAAGTTTCGACATCTTAACGTCATAGATCATTGCGATGTTTAGAGATATTGAACCCATTTAACATGTTGTTTATCTGGCATGATTTAATTACTATTCTGTAATATAGGTATTAAATAGTGGTGGAACGGATATCCGGAAACTATCCGGTATCCTGCCTATCCGGCTAGTTACGGCTTTGGCCGGATATTAAAAACCTATTACTTAGTACTCCACCATTCAGAAGAATTAGTATTTCTTTTAGGTTTTGGACACTGCAGATAATAATCAAGTTCAACCCCAATAGGACTTTTTTCATTGAATACAACTTTATTTATATCAGGTTTGACATTAGCAACCTCATTGTAACAATCCCAATACGATATACCTATAAAATCTCTTGTTGCAGTTTCGTCTAGTTTTCTTCTCTTCGCTTATAATTCATCATCACATTCATTACTAACAGAACTGTCGCTATAAGTACGAAGACTTTTACGGCCGGTGTGAATTNTTGTCACTGAGGATGGGGCTAGCCCCGAAACTAGTTTGACTTCAAATTTATTAAATATAGCAAGTTAAGAAGTTTTTTCGTTTTATTTTTTAAATAATTCACTTGCAACATGGATCTACACTCTATATTTTTAATGTTTCTAAAATTTTCTTTGAAAGTTTCGACATCTTAACGTCATAGATCATTGCGATGTTTAGAGATATTGAACCCATTTAACATGTTGTTTATCTGGCATGATTTAATTACTATTCTGTAATATAGGTATTAAATAGTGGTGGAACGGATATCCGGAAACTATCCGGTATCCTGCCTATCCGGCTAGTTACGGCTTTGGCCGGATATTAAAAACCTATTACTTAGTACTCCACCATTCAGAAGAATTAGTATTTCTTTTAGGTTTTGGACACTGCAGATAATAATCAAGTTCAACCCCAATAGGACTTTTTTCATTGAATACAACTTTATTTATATCAGGTTTGACATTAGCAACCTCATTGTAACAATCCCAATACGATATACCTATAAAATCTCTTGTTGCAGTTTCGTCTAGTTTTCTTCTCTTCGCTTATAATTCATCATCACATTCATTACTAACAGAACTGTCGCTATAAGTACGAAGACTTTTACGGCCGGTGTGAATTAAACTAAAATTAGAACTAAAACTAGAACTAACACTAGAAACTTTCGGGTTTTGCCATGCGTCTTTTAAGAAAAGGTTTGACGTTTCGGATGCCATGTTGCAACCTTCTTCAGAAACTGGTTCGAAATAACGAAGAACTATCGCTGTTATCACTTTCGATTATTAATTAAAGTATCCTCTTTTTAATGCAACAAGCAGTTTTGAAAAATCACTTTCAGTTTTTGAGAAATAAATTTTTGAAATGATCGACAATTTTTTTCGAATTTTGCAATTTTCGCCGATTAAGTTTTAAAAATTCGTATAAAATCCAGTTCTTAGAATATGAGTATAAAAATTTCCCAAAGTGTTAATAAAAGAGTCCTCTTTCCAATGAACTAACCCGTTTTGAAAAATAACGTTTAGTTTTTGAAAAAACAATATTTGAAGTTTTGATAAAATTTTTAATGTTGCAATTTTCATCGATAATTTGCAAAATTCGCTATAAAATTCATTTTTTGAAAGATCCTTGTGGAAATATCACCAATTATTAATGAAAGTATCCTCTTTTTAATGCAAAAAGCAGTTTTGAAAAATTACTTTCAGTTCTTGAGAAATAAATTTTTGAAATGATCGACAATTTTTTTCGAATTTTGCAATTTTCGCCGATTGAATTTTAAAAATTCGTATAAAATCCAGTTCTTGGAATATGAGTAATTTCCCAAAGTGTTAGTAAAAGTGTCCTCTTTCCAATGAACCAACCCGTTTTGAAAAATAATGTTTAGTTTTTGAGAAAACAATATTTGAAGTTTTGATAAAATTTTCGATGTTGCAATTTTCATCGATGACTTGCAAAATTCGCTATAAAATTCATTTCTTGAAGGATCCTTGTGGAAATATCACCAATTATTAATTAAAGTATCCTTTTTTAATGCAAAAAGCAGTTTTGAAAAATCACTTTCAGTTCTTGAGAAATAAATTTTTGAAGTGATCGACAATTTTTTCGAATTTTGCAATTTTCGCCGATTAAGTTTTAAAAATTCGTATAAAATATAGTTCTTTGAATATTAGTATGAAAATTTCCCAAAGTGTTAATAAAAGTATCTTCTTTCCAATGAACCAACCCGTTTTGAAAAATAACTTTTAGTTTTTGAGAAAACAATATTTGAAGTTTTGATAAAATTTTCGATGTTGCAATTTTCATCGATAATTTTCAAAATTCGCTATAAAATTAATTTCTTGAAGGATCCTTGTGGAAATATCACCAATTATTAATTAAAGTATCCTCTTTTTAATGCAAAAAGCCGTTTTGAAAAATCACTTTTAGTTCTTAAGAAATAAATTTTTGAAATGATCGACAATTTTTTCGAATTTTGCAATTTTCGCCGATTAAGTTTTAAAAATTCGTATAAAATCCATTTCTTGGAATATGAGTATGAAAATTTCCCAAAGTGTTAATAAAAGTGTCCTCTTTCCAATGAACCAACCCGTTTTGAAAAATAACTTTTAGTTTTTGAGAAAACAATATTTGAAGTTTTGATAAAATTTTCGATGTTGCAATTTTCATCGATAATTTTCAAAATTCGCTATAAAATTAATTTCTTGAAGGATCCTTGTGGAAATATCACCAATTATTAATTAAAGTATCCTCTTTTTAATGCAAAAAGCCGTTTTGAAAAATCACTTTTAGTTCTTGAGAAATAAATTTTTGAAATGATCGACAATTTTTTCGAATTTTGCAATTTTCGCCGATTAAGTTTTAAAAATTCGTATAAAATCCATTTCTTGGAATATGAGTATGAAAATTTCCCAAAGTGTTAATAAAAGTGTCCTCTTTCCAATGAACCAACCCGTTTTGAAAAATAACTTTTAGTTTTTGAGAAAACAATATTTGAAGTTTTGATAAAATTTTCGATGTTGCAATTTTCATCGATAATTTTCAAAATTCGCTATAAAATTAATTTCTTGAAGGATCCTTGTGGAAATATCACCAATTATTAATTAAAGTATCCTCTTTTTAATGCAAAAGCCGTTTTGAAGAATCACTTTTAGTTTTTGAGAAATAAATTTTTGAAGTGATCAACAATTTTTTGGAATTTGACAATTTTCGCCGATTAAGTTTTAAAAATTCGTATAAAATCGATTTCTTGGAATATGAGTATGAAAATTTCCCAAAATGTTAATAAAAGTGTCCTCTTTCCAATGAACCAACCCGTTTTGAAAAATAACTTTTTGAGAAAACAATATTTGACGTTTTGATAAAATTTTCGATGTTGCAATTTTCATCGATAACTTTCAAAATTCGCTATAAAATTTATTTCTTGAAGGATCCTTGTGAAAATATGGCCAATCATTAATTAAAGTATCCTCTTTTTAGAGTTGCTTCGTTAGTTAAATCAGCATCAAAAAAGTTCATTTTGTATCTTGGATCCAAATAAGTTGACATATCATAATGGTCCATAACCGTACTTCCGTTCTTCATCCGGTATGCCAGCCTCAATGACTTCCTTTGATGGAACCATAGTTGATTCGTGTCCTACGATCTCTTGTCTATTTTTGTTGATGACACAATCCACAGCTCAGTGGTTGTCCATGGCTCTGGAGTTTTGCCGTGGTTTTCCACTAATGCAATTTATAATGTTCTGTTGCATCTTAACCGGCCTTCTAGCCTTGGTTCGGATGGTATTCCAACTTTATTCTTAAAAGAGTTTACTACTGAGCTGTCTACGCCGTATTTTTTCGATGTCTTTACTTGAAGGTGTTTTCCCAAGTATGTGGAAAACGGCTTTCGTTATTCCAATATTTAAATCCGGTAATAAACAGTTGGTATCCAATTACCGTCCTATTTCTATCCGTTCAGCTTCCCCGAAGCCCTGAAGGTCTTTGAAAAAATTATCTACGAATATCTTAGTCTCTCTATTTTTCACTCTATAATCAATGATCCACATGGTTTCCTGTCTGGGCGATCGGTGAATCTGTTGTCCTATGTAAACTTTATTCATTCTGTTTTAAGCGAGGATACTCAGATTAACGCAATCTACACCGCCTACTCGAAAGCCTTGGACAAAATCGATTATACTATTTTTGTACAGAAACTTTTCTCCTTTGATATACCAGATGGTCTTGTTCACTGGATTATGTAGTATTTATCTAGCAGGAGTCAGGCAGTCAGGATTGGTAGCTTTGTATCTGGTTACAAACTTATCACATCCGGTGTGCTTCAGGGCGCTCATCTTGGACCCTTACTATTTGTAATGTACATAAACGATATTTCTTCTTGTTTTAAATTTTCTAAGCTTTTACTCTATGCCGACGATAATAAAATATTCACAAGGGTCGGGCCTAATCTGGACTGTCTTAAACTACAAAAGGATCTTGACTGCCTGCATGAGTACTGTCGCCTCAACAAACTTTTCCTAAGTCATGACACATGCCAAAAAATTACATTTACTTGGAAACGTTATCGCCCAACTTTCCTTACAACTTTAACGGTACTGCTATCTGGTCCAGTGATAAAGCTAAAGATCTTGGCATCACATTGGATTCCAAATTGCGATTTCATCATCAAATTGAATTTATGGTAAAGAAATCACTACGTAACTTTTTTTGGTTTGTTATCAGCAGGGCACGGAACTGTTGTAACAAAACGATACGATTTCCCCCCTCCACTCGTTCTCAGAAAATCTTGATTAAGACAGCATACTGTTCAGTGGGAAATTAAAATTTCAAGTTAGAAAAAAATTGTGTTAACAAAAATTGTTCCCCAAACAATTCTAAACAAACTTTGTCGACATTTTTTTTTGATTTAATCAATAATTAAGGAGATAACCTCAAAATAATAATTTTTCCGTTTTTATACATAATAAATTATACTTAGATGCTTAATTAATAGAGATGTAAAATTTTTTTATTAAGATAATTGATTCAAAATCGAAATTGAAACAAATATTATTTAAAACATTTTTTAATAAAAACAATAATTGTTGAGATAATTAATTTTGATAGCATACTATTCAGAGGGAAATTAAAATTTCAAGTTAGCAAAAAATTGTATTAACAAACACTGTTCCTGAAGTAATTCTAAACAAATATTGTTAATAAAAATAATAATCTCAAAAAAAATTTTATATATTTTTTGTATTGAGAAAATCGTTTTAGAATTTAATTTAGAACAACTTCTGTATGAAATTTACTGCTGAGAACGAGTGGAGGGGGGAAATCGTATCGTTTTGTTACAAAAGTTCCGTGCCCCCTTTTATTTATCATTTGTCAACAGTGTGCTATGTTATGGTTCCCTAATATGGAACCCCATGTATGCGGTGTACCGTGATCGTATTGAAGCTATGCTATTATTTGGCACATAAATTTCATCTAATTTATTGCGATTACGATAGGCTTTGCGTAGTCTTCAACTTATTGTCTCGACAGCAACGTCGAGTTGTTTCTGACTTGATCTTCCTTTCCAAGCTTGTTAATGGCATGCTGAATACTCCCGATCTTCTGCCTATACTTATGACGCTTTCTGTATATAATATGTAGATTCAAATCTAATTACATGTTGTTATTTTATTTCAGCATTGTATGGAATACATGAGTATAATGGCAGTTTTAGTAAATTGTGCATTAATAGGCCTCTCAGGCCAAGTACATCGAATGTTCCCCGATATGACAGCAACACAAACAATCCTTTTAATCGTAGCTCTAGAACACATAATGCTATGTATTCGATTTATAATAACCTGCGCGATTCCTGATATTCCGGGTTGGTTAGCAACGGAAATGGCCAAGATTGAATGGGCTCGACGTGAAGCGAGCCGAGTTGGAGCTACCGGAACTCCGTCTCCCGATGAAATCTTACCGACATCGAAAACAATCGGGAGATTTTCCGTTTCGCCAAGTCATAGTTTAGTGACGAATAACGATGGGGCGAATAAAAAAGATTCGAAAGAAGACAAATTGGATAAATTAGAGAAACCATCTAGTAAAGAAGGCAGCAACGAAATTCTAAAAACATCGACTAGCGTTACACCGGTTTCAACACCAACTACTCCTCATTCATTTAATTCGCATCACAAACCCGTTTCAATCACCCCAGACAGCATTCAAGCTATCCCACCGTTTAAACCGAGAAAATCAAAAGAATGGACTGAAGAAGGTGGATATCATCTTACGATTGGCCCAACCGGTGGAGCCGAATGGTCAAGGAGATTAAAAGAAGAAGATATTCATCGAAGTAGCGATTGCATAGCGAGCAAAGTTAGTTAAAAACATTAATTATAATTAATTATTAATGTTTTTTCTTTAAGGATTCATCGAGTTCAGATTCTGATTTATTAAAAAATAGTCCTATTTGGCCACCACGACCTCGAACACCACCAGGTAATAGTAACGTGCTTATTCCAAAAACTAGTCCAACCCCAATCGATGCTTCATTAAGTGATAGTGCGAAAAGTATTTCCAGTCAAGAAGCTGATGAACAAGCAAAAGGTAATAAATTATTACTAAATTACTAAATTAAAATGAATTATTATAAATAATGTTAGCTGAAGAATTAGCAGCAAAGAAAACACGCGTAAAACAAAGCCTGATGAAAAGAGCGCGATCGGTGGCTATTTTCTCATTGAAATTAAAAGAACGGAGAGCACGGGAGGCGGCAGAAAAAGCGAGTAAATTGGCGGTTACACCAACTGCCCCACTTCCTCCTCCACAATGTGGTGGTGGAGAATTAAATTTAATACCAATCGAAAAAGTAAGCAACACTTATTTAGCACCCAATAATAATATTTTAATATTTTCCTTATATTAGTTGATTCAGTTGGATGATTTAAGAAAAAATCCACCTCAACGAAACAGTCAAAGTGGTACATTGTAGCAATTTATTTGGCGTTAATTACAATCGGATTAAAAATCCGATAGAAACGGCACAGGATAAAAGTGTAAGAGTAATATTAAAATATACCATAAACATTTTACATATAGTGAGGAGCATCGAAAAAAAAAACATAATAAGGAGTATGATAAGGTACTAAATAATAAAAAAGACTAGATTCAATAGAACTTAACAAGAGAGAGAAATAGATGGTAAAAACAGGAAAGCATGTAGGTGTAACATTTTAGGCGGGGGTTTCCCGAAAACTCCTTAGGAATTACAACAAAACATACAAATTAAACAAGGTAAATTTAGGGTCTTTAATATACAGAGTGATAATATATATGGTTTACGCTCAAATCGATAAGAATTTAATTTTGCGTACAAATATGTTTCTTTTTATTATTATTTCTTTAGCTTTAACGCAACTATTCCGGCCTGTAGGTGATATTATTTTATAAGATGCTAAAAATAGAAAAAAAATATTATGCTAGCTTTAAAAACTGGTTTATATTTGAAAAAAATATAATCTGGATTTTTTTTTAATGAAAATCAGGTACAAATATAGAGGTACTTATATCAGAATAATAATAATAATGGGAAATTTATTTTTTGTAATAATATTTACAGAGCATTTTTTTAAAACAGGGATATACAGTGATACAATAAACTCTACATACACCCCAGAAAATGATAATATCTCAGCTTCTGAAATGTAATTCAATTAATTTTTTAAACGAAGGATATTAGAAGTCTATATTATTTTAATACAAAGTCAAAACAGTTCGTCTTGAGCTACGAAGTGAAGGCTACAGCAGTAAATTTAGTTGCACGTCTCTCAAGACGGCTAAACTCGAATTATTCCAGTTCTAGGTCTTGTGTTAGTTGTAGTGATAGTGCAAAACTAGTACTAACACTTAATCTAGAACTAGAAACATTCGGGTTTAGTCGCACGTCTCTCAAGACGGTTAAACCCGAATTATTCTAGTTTTAGGTCTTGTGTTAGCTCTAGTGATAGTGCTAGTGTAAAACTAGAACTAACATTAGACCTAGAACTAGAAAATATCAGTGTTAGTTCTAGTTTTAATTCAATAAAAATATACAACATGGTAATCTTATGTTCTACGTCTTGTGTTAGTTCTAGTGATAGTGCAAAACTAGAACTAACACTAGAAACTAGAACTAGAAACATTCAGATTTAACCGCACGTCTCTCAAGACGGCTAAACCCGAATTATTCTAGTTCTAGGTCTTGTGTTAGCTCTAGTGATAGTGCTAGTGTAAAACTATAATTAACACTAGACCTAGAACTAGAAACATTCGGGTTTAGCTGCACGTCTCTCAAGACTGCTAAACACGAATTATTCTAGTTCTAGGTCTAGTGTTAGTTCTAGTTTTAGTTCAATAAAAATATGCAACATAATGATATCTTATGCTAACTACGCTTACGCTACTTACCACTGTCTCTAGAACTAACATTACACCTAAAAGTAGAAACATTCAGGTTTAGCCATTTTAAGAGACGCACGGTTAAACAGAATGTTTTTAATAGAAGGAATAGAAGGAAATTTTCGGTTTTATCAATTAAATTGTATTTCTCGGTGATATACTTCATTCATTCTACCGGTTTCGATATTTATAGTATCATCCTCAGGAGATCGTCAGAAACGGTTTCTTAAAACAGAATGAAAAGGTTTAAAACATCGTAACACAAACAATAAGTGATTGACATGTAATTGAACAAAAGTAGGTAATTTTACACTGATTAACAGTAAATGAAAACGGCGTGCGACCGGTAATATTATAAAAGAACGAGTTTAGGAATGTTTTTAGTTCTAAGTCTAGTGCTAGTGTTAGTTTAGTTTTATTTGTTATTTAGCGCTAGATAGTTGTATATTTTTATTGATCTATAACGGACACTGATAGACTTTTTTTGTAGGACTGTATTTAGACTTTTTAGAATTAAAGATATGGTAATGTCTTGTGTTCCCCGTGATTAATAATAACCTATATAGTTTTTAAGTAAAATATAGAAATAATATGCACTTCTTATATGTTTTGTTAAAAAATTTCATTGTATTACATACATTACGGGAGCTGAGATATTATTGATGAGATATTATGTAGACTTTGTTGTATCACTGTATTACGAAATAAATGTATTTTATGTAATAATGCGGTATTTAGAATTGGTAGAAAACAGCGAAAATTGATTGGTTTATGTCAAAATGGTTGTAATGCACTAAAAACATCTCTGGGATACTTAAACAAGAGAAAAGAATTTTTTACAAATGATTTTGGAAAATTTTTCAAAGAAATCAAGAAATAATGTGTATGTCAAAATGGTTGTCAACATCTTAACATTGCTGATATTCGCGAATATTGTCCTAGCTAACATCATATATGGCATCGAAATTATTCCCGATATATCTCTGTCTTAGGATATTTATATTAATATCACCAATATGGTCTTCCTCGACATTATCTATAGCAGTTTTCAACACTGCCTGACCATCAATATTTTTTCCATCATTTATTGATGACGTCAATGATATTTCTAATTGCATTCCCAATCCTTGTCATCTTCCCATCATCCAATAACATCTCTCCTATATCTCTTTTCCTTAATACATACGAGTGCGGGAAGTTAGCCCCCCATTTTTGATTTTTAAATTTTTCATTGTTGTTCTAGATTGTTCTAGAATTGTTCAACATTGTTCAAAGCGGTAAATAGAAAAAATAAAAACTCGGCGAGAAAAACCGAAAAAACGGGTTTTTTGATTAGCCCCCAATTTTTGAAAAATCAGATTTTCTTTGTTGTTCTGGATTGTTCTAGTTGTTGTTTTAGAAAATCAAAATTATGGGATACAGCATTACGAAGTTATAACTAAAAATACGTTTCTAAAATAGGTAAAAAAATGTTTTTTTCTGACTAGACGGATATTAATTTTGCAAAATCATATCTTCTTTTAAAATACAGCAGAATGCAGACCTAACAAGACAAATAATAAATCAACAAATGAATAATCTAACTATTCGATCAGCAAACAAAAATACATTGTTTGGATTATACATTATGTATTAATAACTAAATATCTCTGTGTCCCACCCACACAGAGATATATTTATATATACTATACATATGTTCATTATACAGGCTGTGTCAAATGTCTGGAATATAGCCAATAACTTCGCCATTTGTGGTTTTAAAGAAACATGTTTCAAATACAAGTTTCTTTATTAATCGTGGCGCATGTTTTGGCGATACTTGCTTGTTTACATTGTTCTTTGTTTCGTTGCTATGGTAACCAACATTGTTATTTTAAATGGGATGCATATGTTTTTTTGCACATTTGAATAGAGGATAAATCCCTCTACGCGATGAACATATCAAATCATATTAAAGAAAATATTAAATCAGCAAATTACAATCAAAGTAGGCGCCGAAATAACGCCGTTGACAGCTGTAAATGTAAACAAATTGACAGTTTAAACAAATATGGTGCAATTAAGCGAACGACAAAGAATCCAAATATTAATAATGTATGGGTACTGTGCAGGTGATAGAAAACGCACTCAAAGTAAAATTTGTACACTGTTCAATAATATTTACCCGGATACACAAATTACACAATCCACAGTATCCAAAATATTAGAAAAAGTTTTAACAGCGGAAGTGTTAAAAACCTTCCAAAAAGATAAAGGCCGAAGACAGTTACCAATGACCATACATTATTAATTATTCATAATTGTTGAAAATGTAATTTTTTTACATTTAAAGCTGTCTTCGGTGCCTACTTTGATTGTAATTAGCTGATTTAAGACTTTCAAAAAACGCATTTTTTTCTTATACAACCATATGATTTGATATGTTCATCGCATAGAAGGACTTATCCTCTATCAAAGTATGCAAAAAACATATGCATAACATTTAAAATAACAAAGTTGGTTGCCATAGCAACGATACAAAAAACAATACAAACAAACAAATATCGCCAAAAAATGCGCCATGTTTAATAAAGAAACTTGTATTTGAAATATTTTTCTTTAAAACCACGAATGGCGAAGTTATTGACTATATTTCAGAAATGTGACACACCCTGTATATTTATATACACTGCTCAAAAAAATTAGGGGAACACTTTTCGAAATCTGTAACTTTTTAAGTAATAGTTCTAGACAAATCAAATTTGGTTTACTTCAACGGCATATATTTAACTAAAGTAAATTACAAAAACAATGTTACAACTCTTAGTTACTTCTAAGTTACATTTAAAAATGTAAATTAATAACGCAAAACAAAGTGGAAAATGTCAAGTATGCTTTAAATCCGCGAATGAAAGCCTACTAAAGATGACAAATGAATTCAGTTGTCAATTTTCGTTGATTAGAAGCGTCATGAAGCATCTTAGTGAAGTGCAAGTTGCTCGTGCTGTTGCCCTTATTCAGCATGGCCACTCTGTTCCACATGTTAGCAGGGATCTTCGAGTTTCCCTTTCTGTTATTCAGCATTTATGGAATCGGTTTCAGGAGACTGGCCAACATGTTAGAAGAGCTGGACAAGGTTGAAATCGAAAAACTACTCAAAATCAAAACCGATTTCTTGTAGTTTCCTGTCTACGTACTCGTACTGCCACAGCACGAGACCTCCTAAACGACCTAAGACAGATTAAAAGAAGCTAATTTGAAACCTAGAAGACCTGTCCGCGCACCACGCCTTATGCAGCATCACAAAGCAGCGCGGATGAGGTTTGCTCTGGATCACAAAGATTGGCAATTTCGTCACTGGACGCCTGTACTGTTTACAGACGAGTCCAGATTTCGTTGCGACGGTCGAGTACGTGTATATAGACGTCCTGGTGAACGCTACGCAGCCGCTACTATACAGGAAGTGGATAGATTTGGTCGAGGATCTGTTATGGTTTGGGCTGGAATCAGTATAGACAACAGAACTGATCTTGTTGTTCCTGGTAGGCTAAATGCCATGAATTACATCGAAAACATCTTGGAGGACCATATGTTTGTGCACAGATATATGGATTCATATAAATGTGCACAACATAAAATGGCCAGTTTTAAATTTGCATTGCATCGACTCTGTAATACTCCGTTAAACAAACCAAATTACATTTCAGAACTCAAAAACATCATAAAAATAGGCCTTAATAACAGATTTAAACTTAAAGACATACAGAAGATTTTATTTATTTACTATTCACAACAATCACATTAATAAACTACTATATCCTCATTACAAAAATCACCACCTAAATACATTTCAATTCTCCATTTACTCCTGGATTACAGTTTAAATTTAAGAAAAACCTTTCCAAACACAATCTCACACTAGCTTTTAGTTCCAATAACAAACTAGGTCAGTTAATCACTAATAACAAACACAAATTTAACCAGTTAGAACTTAATGGAGTTTACGAATTAAGATGTAATGAATGTGAACATTTTTACATAGACCAAACTGGTAAAAGTCTTAAAACCAAAATCAAAGAACACTTTACCAAAGAGTCTTCCACCTTCTTTAACCATTTAAAGAATAACAACCATAAATCTGCTTTCGAAGACGCCAAACTTCTCAAGAATATTAAAAAATCCAGAGAACTGGACCTCTACGAGCAATAT